AAAACCTGTTAGCATGGTGTCAGCACAGTGAAATAGCCTCATGCTAAATACTGTAAAAGTCCTTGTGCCATTTCTTTGTGCAGTAGATGGAACTGGGAGTTGGACAATCCCTGGAAAACAAAATTCAATGGCTCCATTTACTACAGTAGTAGGAAGTGTGTTAATGAGCACTGCCAGGATAAATACTGTCGTTAAGAGCTCAGATTGCTTATTGCTGTGGTGTAGAACTGAGAAGGGTACTCAGATTTGCTGCTCAGTCAAGTGAATCTCCAGTAGCCAGCAGTAAGGTTTGCAAAGGTGACAGATTCTGCCTAAAGAATGGAGGGACAAAAAAATCAGAACAGAGGCATTCAACGTGATTCCATTTTTATTTAGAACAGCTCAGTTTGCCTTCTTAAATGCAAATTTAAGTACCTGTGATCTAGGTAGCTTTTAAATTGCAATAGTCTGTGGTTGGTCTGTAGAAAACCACACAAATATGTTTTGCTCTGTATTGGTTTTGCTTAAAAAAGTTCTCAGAACTTGAAATTTGGTTCCCTTGCTTTCCAGTTCCATCTTCTCCACTTGGCAAGCACAGTCCACAGCTGCTCCTGTAGCTTGCAGTTCCCATTAGTAGAGGAATAAGCAGTGTCATGTTTGAAAACACAGATCCTGCTTGTTGGGCAAATGTCTTCTGGTAGCAGCTCCCATCCCCACCTCTTCAACCCCCAGAGAATGTCGAAGACTGTTATGATCTGATTTTGGAGCCTATGCTGTACGTTGTGTGTATGAGAACACTGCAGGGCTGTCTGTACATGGTGCAGCCACCTTCTGTTGCTCTGCAAGCCTGGCCTGTGTGTGGGGAATCCACAGCGGATGGTTTGGAAGGGTTTCCAGGTCAGCTGGAAGTGCGGAAGGTGCAGACCGCATGGCCCAGCCAGATACAGGCCTGTTTTTCTCCTCTATTAAGCAGGCTTGGGTCAGGCTCCTCTGGCTCCTCTCTGGTTTTCTGATTCTCTTAGTCCAAAATTGAGAGGTTATTTCAGTGTTTGAGAGAGTTGTGTGAGGAATTCATGTGTTGGCGTGGTTGTTCAGTAACAAAACAACATAGAGGTTAGTACTTTAGAAGCAGAATTGCTGAACCTTGTGATATACTGGTGTTCTGTAGCATAAGGGGTTCCTGTTGCCTAAGGCCATTGAGAGGCCATCACTGCAAGTTAAAGTTCCTGGCCATCTTGGCTGTACATTTTGTCAGATGGTCTTGGTATGACCAAGAAAGGAATTTTCAGGAAGTTAAGTTTTATTCCTAGAAGATCCATAGTTTAAGGGGTTTCTCCAGCTGGTTTTATGTTTTCTATAATGCCTTTTTTTTATGGATTATTTCACAGGAGACAGCAATAACACTTGTTGGGGGACTTTTCTCCTATTTTTCAGTCTTCCAGTTGCATCTGAAGGATTCATGGAGCGCAATTTTCTTCCATCCTCTAACAATTGCTTAGAATTGTCTTGCTTAAAAGATCACATAAAGAAGTACTCCAGTAGTAGAGTAGAAACACTCGGGAGGAGTTTCCAAAGAGTAAAGTATGTGTGTTTTTCACAGTAGTTGCAAAGTATAGTATTTGTGGCATTGATTCTGTCAGAACTCAGACACATTAAGAGCATCTGCATGATGCTCTTCATCATAGGGTTGAGTTTTAGGTATTCGTGCAAGGAGCAGGGAGTTGGACTCAGTGATCCTTATTGGGTCCCTTCCAATTCAAGATTGTCCATGATTCTCTTTGGTCTTTTTTGGTCCTTGAGGTCAGTTTAGTCTTGTTTTCTCACAGTCTTTGCATTACCAAACTTTCTGTCATGTTAAAGCCCTAGCAGGGTTCTGCAGCTTCAAAGCTGTAATCCACAGCTGTATTTCTTCTTCTAATGGGAGGAGAAAGGCATATCCCAAATTCCCCTTATGTCTGCACAACTGGAACTGATTTGCACATCCCATAAAAGCTACTCATGTTCAGTAACTTCCTTTTTTGAGCTTGTTCAACATAGGTCTTTTTATTTCCTTGAAAGGGGGCAGCAGGGAACCACGTTTTTCTATGTCTTTCCATCTGGGATTCAGGCTAGATACTGTTCCAGTTCCAGAAATGCATTTCCAGATGTCCTCACTGCTGGGAAGCCTGTGGCTTTCTCCTCTGCACTTGGAGGAAAAGGAGGAAGGAGAAGAGCTGAAGGGAAACAAGAAGCCAAGACAATGCTTCCAATACAAAACACTGTCTCGATCAAATGGGGCTGGTTGGTCCCAGTTACATTTGCATGAGGCTTATCTGTCACCATGTCTTTTTAATCAAGTTCATGTAGGGATTTTAATTAAACAGCGAGATCACTATGTCAGGCTGGTCACCTGTAACTCGCAAGTGAGTTTAGTTAGCAATGGCAAGAAATGGTTCTTAGTTATGTGCCACTTTTGGTAAATAATGGGAGACCTGTGCCCTTCACTTGCAGGAACCTGGCACAGAGCGATATTAAACAAATTGCTTCTTGTCCAGTTGGTGCCAGTAGGGAAGAGCACACTGTTTTTAGTGAGATGGGATTGAGCCTTCAGTAGCTACTATAGGAGCTGTAAAATTTGGGAAGAATATGGTTTAAACTCCTCATTTTCCAATATTCTGTAGCACCTGGTTTTCAAATGGTACTTAAATAGGGGGAAATGAATGGGGTGGAACCACCATCAATTTTTTGGGGGACTGTCACTTTTTTGTGGGGAAGGTTTAGGTGTGATCTGCAATAGTGAAGACAGTAATGCTGTGTGAGTCTTAATTTAAATCATTTTGGCAATGGTAGTTTCTAGACATGCTAGATGAGATGTCCATGGCTGGTTTTAGCAGGACAAACTGCTCTATTAATTAAGTTCTGTCCCATAAATCTCTTCTAACTTGCATTCAAATCCCAAAGTAACCAGGATCATGCTGCTATTGAAGTCTGCAGTCCAGGAGAATGGAGTTTAATATTTCATTTGCCTTGCGTTCCGCTCGGATGTCACTTGTAAGATGTCTTTTTTGCACTGGGAATAAAAAGCACTAAGTCTATCTTTTAATTGCCTTGCACCAAGAAGCAAGTAATAAACTGTGATTTATAATAATTTGATTTTTTAATGAAAATGTATCCACATGCATTTCCTGAAAGCAAATTTCTTGGACAAATCACCTTCCTAAGTCAAAACATAATCAGCCTGACATATCAGAAAAGGGTTCTGGCAGGAGTTAGGGGAGCAGTGCCAAATCCAAGCAGAAACAGACATTCCACGCAAAGCTTACCTCGCAACAGTGGTTTTGGGTCACGTTGGATACCTGCTGCAGTGACAATTCAGATTGCTTTTTGTTCCAGGGGTAAAATGCACAACTGCTGCAGTCAGTCTCAAGGAGACAGCTTGGTTCATTGCCATTAGCCAACAGAAAGGAAATTAATGATGTTTCAGTCGATCATTTTGTGTAATAATGGTTTCCACACATAATGGTTTCCACACATGAATTTCTCTTCATTGAGCAGATATTTAACTTGCAATACTTCTCCAGAGGGGAGGACCCATCTTCCTCCCTTCATGTGGTGCTGATGCTCCTTTCTTCTCCCTTTCTGATTCTTCCAGTTCTGTGGGTTCTTTGAGGAATCACCTTTAAGCGGGGTTTAGAGTAATTGCCCCAGAACTCTAACATGAATGTTGTGTTGTAATGTTCATAGGTTCCCTTTTCTGAGACAAAGACGTCCTTTTGTCACCTTATTTTCATGACAGAAGAGAGTTTGTGTCCTTGGGGCTGAGGGCAAAACGCATTAGTGTGTGACACAGGGATGGCCAGGGCAGGTTAAGAGAATTGCTCATAATCTTGCAAAGTTCAGCTCAGGTTTGAAGGTTTTCAAAACCACAAGGCATAGGCTGTTCATGCAGCTTCCAATATGCAGGTGTTATTTACACACTGATGAGAGGGGGAAGAATAAAAACCAGGCAGGTAGCCAGAGCCCTGTAGACATTTTATTTTGCTTCATTTTGGAGCTTTAATCAAAGGGTGCTGCTGAGATGTCTTCTATTGGTTTGCTTTTCTTTTTGTCACAGAGGTGATATTCAGCAGCCAGGTTCCTGCCTCTTCATGATGCTTTTCAGACGTCTGGGCACTCTTCAAGCCTCGTAGACACTTTGCTTGAGTGCCTTTACTCCTGAAGTTAAGCAAACTCTCTAAACAAAAGTGACAGGAGGTGTTGATTCACTGCTGCCTCAGAGTTTGCCTTAGTTCTGAGCTACACAAGCTCAGTTCTAGCAGTATCCTGACAACTGATACTGTCAACCGTGGGAATATCCCATGGTGAGGCCATGTCACAGGTTGCCCAGAGAAGCTGTGGCTGCCCCATCCCTGGCAGTGTTCAAGGGCAGGTTGGACACAGGGGCTTGGAGCAAGCTGCTCTAGTGGAAGGTGTCCCTGCCCGTGGCAGGGGTTGGGACTGGATGAGCTTTAAGGTCCCTTCCGACCCAAACCTGGGATTCTGTGTTCCCTAGTGTTTAACTTCAGTAGTATTTTCTCACACACGCAGCCAGTGCTTTGATTTAAAACCACATCCTATCTTTAAACTTTCTTTTCCTTGGTAAAATCACAGAATAAGCAAGTCATTTGAGTTTTCCACTCACAGCTAATTGTGTCACAGTAAGAATTGCACTCATTTATTTGGCTGAACCCTAACACCATGAGTAATGATTGTGATATTCTGCCATGTTAGGTCACAGGGTAGAGGAAGGGCTGTTGTACTTTTTATATGCCAAGTGCACTCAGTTGTCTGTACTTAAAGTTTCTTTACCCCTCACCCTACAGTATTATATTGAGTGCTATTGCTCAGATGTTTAGAGGGGGAATAAGTGTAAACCTTCTGATCTCTTAAAAGCATCTTATTTTAAACCATAGTTGCTTTGAGGTTACTGTATCCCTGCAAGTGGAAATTTGCTCCTTTAGCCACAATAGTCTCATGCTTCCATGATTTTTTGCTGTCCACAGAGCCCCCAACTCCCATTGCCCCCCCTGAGCTGCTGGCTGTCGGTGCCACGTACCTGTGGATTAAACCCAACGCCAACTCCATCATTGGAGATGGGCCCATCATACTGAAGGAGGTGGAGTACCGGACGACCACTGGGAATTGGGCTGAAACACACATTGTAGACTCTCCTAATTACAAGCTCTGGCATTTGGACCCTGATGTGGAGTATGAGATCCGGGTGCTGCTCACTCGCCCTGGAGAAGGAGGCACTGGCCCCCCTGGACCACCGCTCACAACAAGGACTAAGTGTGCAGGTAGGTTGCTACAGCTTCATAATACAGTAGAGATGATTTTGTTCACTTACTATCATAGTAACAAATGGTCTTCCACACATCCTTATAGATGTGCTTTGTCAGTGATCTGAATTAACATGATGAATTTTCCTATATCCTGGAATATTTTACTTCAAATGCCATAGGCCAGTGTTTAGGGAACTGTAGTTTTTATGCATGTCGGATATTTGCCAAATTCTCTGTTCTGGTGTATGGCTGCTTTCTGTTGGAATGGGCCAGAGAATGAGACTTTTCCAGCCAATTTTCCAGTAGGCAAATTGTTCTTCTGTCAGACTGGTCTGCTGGAAAATCTTTACCCTGTAAATGCATAAAAAAATATATGTTGTTCTTGGGTAATAGTTCAGCTTTGGTTCTTAACAAATAGTGCTGTCCATTCATGAGTGCAGTGTGGTGAAGTGGGAAGCATTTAGTTTCTTGTATTCCATTTGATGGAAGTAATTCCTCTCCTCACTCCTGACAAAGAAACCTGTTCAAATGCTGTGCAGCATCTCCCCTTTCTCTTTTGTATTGTTAACAAATCGATTTTGCTCCAGGGACAGGAAGCCTCTCTCCTCTTTCTAAGCCATATTGGCCTTCCCAGGAAAAATCAAGGGATCATGTTCCTCATATTTCGCATATAATGGCTAAATATATGGTTTCATGCATACATTATCAGCCATTAAAGAAATCAAGCTCTGTGATTTGCAAGGGGGTGAACAAGGCAGTTTTCTGTCCAGCACTTTTTCCTACCACACACAGCTGTCTTCTGAAGGTTTGCATTTCTGTAATGTTTGCAGAGTCCTCACTGTGCTGTGAACAAAGGACAGATTAACAGGCTGCTCTCTTCCTTCTAAAGCCTTCCTCCCCACAAGTTAGTGGTTTGCAGCGAGTGGATTGAAGTAATGCAAAGCTTACACAAAAGCATTCTGGTCCCAGTTACTCTTTCTGACCAGTTAGCAAGGCTGAAGTGGGAGGAATGCCTCAAGAACAGCCAAATCCTTCCTGGTATGGGATTGAGCAGTGCAGTGTTAGCTTTCCTCACCCACTGTCCCAGCCTGTGCATCCCCAGCAGCATCCTCTTCCTCTACCAAGAGAGGAAGGCAGGCAGGTTGTGTGCATTGTGGGGCAGGGATGTACATCCTTACTGCCTTTCCTTTACTATACAGGTTATATACAGTGAACAGTTAATGCATCTTTAGAAGAATTGGTCAAAAACATAAATTTGAGCTTGAGGATGTGGTATGGAGTTGTTTGCTGTGTTCGGCATCTGCCCATTAGCAGAACACAGATGTTTGGAGGCTTTTCTGCAGCTGGGTGGACAGCATGTAGTGATGTGGGTGATGTCCTGGCCCGTTTGGGAAACAGGCACATGCTCTGGTGCTCATCTTTGACTGTTTCCTCCTGTGTGGTCACATTCTCTAACCCTCAGCAGAAATAACTGCAGGCCAGGCCTGGGACAGGGCATTTGCAGATGGAAGTGGGATGTGCTGAGCTGATATGGTTCATGTGCTGGGACTCTGCAGACACACTCTGCAGCAGCCAAACTGGTCTGCATTACCTTTGAAGAAAGCATGCTTTAGCTTACTGCAGGGGTAAAAATAAAACAACAGAAAGGCTGTTGGCGTTGTGCTGAATGATGTCTTTTACTGGGTCCCCAATTGCTCAGCACAGGTATCAATGGACATCATGAAGGATGCTGTGGATAATCTGTTCCACTTGGCTGAGCTGAGCCACTCACTGTTTTCTGTCCTAATTTACTAACGAAAATCTACCTGGAGTAAAGGTCATTCTGTTAATGGTAGTTGTCATACAGAGCTTGTGGAGATTGATGGTGATGGCATTTAGGTTCTTTGGAGTGGAGAAATTGTAACGATCTTGATACTAAGAATGGATTTGAAGAAAGGGAGAGACTTACCCAATATCTGAAGATGTACGGCTTCCGCAAAATGCTAGCTGGTACGGTGGAGGGGGAAATGCAACTCATTATTCCAATTTCCTTATGTTGTGGAGCTCCCTCAAAATACCCTATTTTGAGGATAATTACACAGAACTTCCATGGTAAAGATACTAAATAATGCACTGAACCAAGAAGAGAGCGCTGCTTCCTTCATTTTTCTTAGAGCACCTAATGACATCAGTGAAAAGGGCAGGGTTTTAAATAGGCGGGAGATGAGTGATGCTGCTTTTTGCAAGTGAATTTTTGCTTTTTTTCTTTGTCATTGTTTTTTCTTTGCAACAGGCAAGTACCAAACTGCTACACATCTGTCTGCAGTCAGTTGATGACTGAAATTGTCCTGTTTTACTGGACTATTTAGTGTTAGCACTGTGTTTATTAGAGCCTCTAATAAGAGATAACAAAATCAGCTGCGGAAGTAGTGGTAGAGAATATCACCTAAACTGGTGAAGAAGTAGTTACTTATTTAAATAGATATTTACATAAATACTTTCTTCCCTGTGAGGGTGCTGAGGCGCTGGCACAGGGTGCCCAGAGAAGCTGTGGCTGCCCCATCCCTGGCAGTGCTCAAGGGCAGGTTGGACACAGGGGCTTGGAGCAAGCTGCTCTAGTGGAAGGGGTCCCTGCCCGTGGCAGGGGTTGGAGCTGGATGAGCTTTAAGGTCCCTTCCAACACAAACCAGTCTGTGAGTCTATGGTTAAGTTGCAAGAAATCAGTGCAACTATAAACAGAAGGTGTCTGCAACCTTCCAACAGCGAGAAGTCAATGTCCCTTTTACTAAACAGTCTTATTGGTGTCTTTTCACATAGGCATTAGATGTTCATGTGCTAAGGAGTAGCTGCTGGCATAACCTCACCTTGCAGTGAGATCTTTTTTCATTGTTATTTTCATCTCTAAATCAGAAGAGGATTTGGGAAAGACCATGTTTTACTTCCACTTCAAATCAAGCACCAGAAGCTCACTTACAGAGTTGTAGTTGTCTGCTCTGAGTTTCTTGGCTCTCAACCTTGCCTCAGAGCAAAAGCATGACCAGAATGCAGAGCATGAGCTTACAAAGTCATTGTACTGTGATGTAACTCGTATCATGATCATTCATTATTTTCTGGTTGTTGATCAGAATGAATGGTAGTTGATTTCATGGACTTCAAAAAGTTTTCATTATATAAACCCCATAAAAACTAATTATGAAAAGTCTCGCTCTGAGCACAAAGTTTTATTAAACTGGATAATATCTAAATTTCTGAAACCAGTATGTGCCTGGGCATGTGTTACCCACTGACGATGCTTTTGGTTTCTACAGGACAGCATTACAAGACTTCATTTCTCTATTTGATCTTTAGAGATGATACTGAAAATTAAGTCCCAGTTTGGCTCCATCCAGGAAAAGCCAATGGCCAGAAAACATGGCAAACCCTGCCTTTGGAAATGAGTGATCTTTTTTGGTTGTGGGTTTGTTGTTTGTGAGGGTGCTGAGGCACTGGCACAGGGTGCCCAGAGAAGCTGTGGCTGCCCCATCCCTGGCAGTGTTCAAGGGCAGGTTGGACACAGGGGCTTGGAGCAAGCTGCTCTAGTGGAAGGTGTCCCTGCCTGTGGCAGGGATTGGATCTGGATGAGCTTTAAGGTCCCTTCCAACACAAACCAGTCTGTGATGCTGTGAAGATGTGTTGGGTTTTGTGACCTTGAGGCTTGGAAGGAGGAAACTTTCCAGTCTGACAGGAGAATCGCTTGGTAAGGAATGGGAGGGGAGAAAAAGTCCTGAGAAATGCCATAATTTGCCCCCCAGTCAGTAATTCTTCATTGGACATGCTTATCACAATGGGAGGTTTGTTCTTATATGAAAAACTTCACGTGGTTCTCATGCAGCTCATCTCTTCAGATAAGCTGCTAGAGACTGGGTAATTCAGCAGGAGGGTGTGATTTAGCTCCTGGAGAAAAGAGCAGTTGTCAAGATCAATACTCAATTTTTGTTGTTGGCCTGGGGAAATAGAAGTTACTCTTGAGCAGTGTGGCTGAATTCAATACTCCTCTTACAGTCAGTCGGGATAAAGCAGCTGATATAAATGCAAATAGTCTGTACATTCAGAGTTTGATACAGTATTGCAAGGGAGTGGGAAAACCTCTTCCTTATTATTAAAGGGTACTTTGTTGCCATGAAATTTTGAGAAGTTTAGAACTGGGAAGCAGCTTTTGCTGTTTTGTTTCTTCAGTTTAAGGCCACATGTCTTATAGAAATGTTTTGGTCTATTGATCTGTTACAGATGTTAGAAAAAGGAAGGAGCTGTGTACTGCTGTGAAATACTCAAACTGAACAACCAACAGCTTCATTGTGTGCTAACATAAGTTGTTACAACAGGTTCATAAATGCTTCTTTCTGATTTCATTTTAAGGTGATAACTCCCATTAAATAGCAAACATTTACATATTGGAAACTAAGATTGAGGGGTGCTGCACTGCCTTCATTTTGTACTGGTTTTCAAGCTTACAAATTAAAACCAGACACCCTGAAAAAGGCTGATCTCTGAGTCAAAGCACTGCACAAATGGCGTGTGGAGGGTTTGAAAGAGTTCTGTACAACTGATGTGGAGGTATTATTGCAATCACTCATTTACAGCCTCATTTAACTTGGGAGTTAGTCTAAGCCTTGTCCTGAAACATGCATCGCTTCCCTGTTAATATTAGTTAAGCTTTTGGCTCCACTGTCTTTATAACTTTAAATGTAGACAGTGGTGGGAACGGATGCTGTTTTAGCAAGTTTGCTGCTGTTGGCTAATGCTTCTATAGAGTATTAGCAGTGAAGGAAAACCTAACCTGGCTTTCTTGTTTCCTGTGTCGCTAAGTGCTGTGAGGGGCTTTCTTCTCTCAGCGATGGTAAAACAAGCCTCTGCCGTGCAGCTTGTGCTTGTGTTGGGTTTTGCTCTCTTCTGAATTTCCTGAAACAAAGGCTCATATAGCACAATGAAATGCTGCTGCTGTTCTCTTGATAGCAGCTGTTCCCAAGAGCCGTACCCTGCAGGTGCGCTGTTGAGGA